TGCAGGACCAACTTCCCTGGCAGAGAGCCCAACACCAGCCTGTGCTGCTGACCCGCCCCTGCAGCTGCAGTTCCCCCTAATGTCAGTGTCCCGGCCTGGGCCCCACCTTGCGAGGGCTGCTGTAGAACCAGAGTGATCCTCTTTGCTTCCCCCTGAATAGAGATAAAAGGGCTATTAAGATTCTAACAGCAAAAATAATTACAAATTGGTAAAACATAATATTTTGAATTAGTTTTTATTTTTGTATTTTGTTTTAATTGTAGTTAAAGTTTTAGTAATATTGTTGTGTGTTTGTCATTTTTATTCTTTTTTTTTTTAAGTCCATATCCTTTTTCTTTAAGCTTTAGTTGTTTTATCACTTCAAGTTCAAAAAAAAAAAATGCTGCCTAGGAAACTAGCTGAAATACATTTATATAAAACTTATAATACTTACATATTATATCATATTATAATTTACACAATTAGTAATTATATAACTTATATATTTGTTTATTTATATGAATTATTATAATTATTATTTAGGTTTTAAGATAATTTTATTTCAAGCAAACAAACCGTTGTTTTCTGGTTTTAGTTTTAATTAACAATAATAAACCTGGCAGAGACTGACCTGCTGTGACACTGCTGAAAGTGTGACACCTTGAGGTCGGACGGCCGCTGCTGTCGTTCCAGGGGATGTAGTAGCTGACACTTGGTCCTGTGTTTGTAATGCCACCTGCATCTGAGGCTGCACCTGGACTTGCGCCTGTACCTGTGCTGGCTGTGACGGTGACTGGAGCTGCGTCTGCGCAGGCATCTGTACCTGGACCGGCTGAGTGTGAACCTGCGTTTGAGTCTGGGGCACAGAGGTCAGTAACACCTGCTTCATTGGGCCATTTGGAGTCTGAACCAGCCTTTGGACTCCAGTGCCCAGTTTGACCTGTCTCTGCCCAGGAGATGTTGCGTTTAATACTGTTCCCCCGGAAACAACCGCCATCCCTGGCCTAAGCGGGGTCCCTGTCAGGACTCTAGTGAGGGTGACTTTCCCTGGAGAGCCTGTGGCTCCTGTGACACCCTGTAGCACTTGAGTCTGACCCTGAGGGCCTTTGAAAATTACAATTTTTGGGACTGACTGTCCTGTTGCCTGTTGCGTAACAGCGATTTGCTGAGTCTGCAGCTGCTGGGTGGTGACTTGAGCCCCTGACACAGGTACTCCAAGAGGGGAGCTCAGCAGGACCGTTGCCGCCCCACTGCTATTACTGGCCACCGAGAGAGAAGGCTGAATGGAAATTGAAGCCGGGGCAACAGAAACCTCATGGGACATCTGGGTGGGCTGCTGTGTTTGAAGGGTCTGCAGTGGGAGGGAGGCAGGAGCTGCAACAGGTGTTGAGATTAGAGCTGGATCTGTGACATCATTGAGCACAGAGACACCAAGATCTGGTGTAGGGTCCATAGGAGGGTCCACTTGGCCCAGTGCCAACTTAAGCGCCTCCTCAACTGGGTCTGAGGAGCCCTGGGAGAACGCATCCTCCGGTAGGGAATCCAAATTGAACAGTGGTGTGTCATCAAAGAGGTCCATAATGGGGTCTGCCATCTTGTCAAAGAGTTTGTGAAAAAACGAAAAGAATGTGTGATATCCAGTGTCCGTACAAAAACATCCAACAAGTCCGAAGAGATTTTGCAATTATGCTGTTGAAGGAAAAAAAAGAAAAGAGAGAGAAAAACTGTAACCACCTTCATCAAGTATTTTTCCCCATATGTTAATGAAGTAATAACATAATTAAGGAGAGTTACTGAGTTTCATGTATGCAGCCAAAATTAATCAAGTAATTGGCCTTAAATAAATGAATTTAAAAAAATCAATGGACATTGTTTAGGACTTATAGATTTATATTTATTATACATATCTTAAAAACAACATACATAATATAAACAATCACAATTATACACTCATTAGATAAGTATCTGTATATATCTATGTCAGTATATCAATACTGTTATGCAAAACATATAAATAATATACTATTCATGTATGCAGCCAAAATTAATCAAGTAATTGGCCTTAAATAAATGAATTTTAAAAAATCAATGGACATTGTTTAGGACTTATAGATTTATTTTAGACATTGTTTAGATTTATATTTATTATACATATCTTAAAAACAACATACATAATATAATGCATAATATAAACAATCACAATTATACACTCATTAGATAAGTATCTGTATATATCTATGTCAGTATATCAATACTGTTATGCAAAACATATAAATAATATACTGAGAATAAAATCTACAAGCACCTTCATAAAGTTAAAGATACACACACATCACTACAAATTCACAACTATCAGAGCTAATATGTAATCTCCAGTCTCCTGTTTGCCAGGTAAGCTTACCTGAAATGAATTATCAGGGAGAGGGGAACAGGAAAAGAGGGAGTCCACCGGTTCACCCTTCTTCACTCTCTCTCTTCCTCTCGTCTATCCTCTCCTACTCTCTGGAGTTACTTTTTGCTTGCGTTTGACTTTTTGTCTGGTTGGAGTGAGCTCTAGAAGATCCATCAATAAATATGTGTAATGATTCCCTGGAAAAGACAAAAACATTTTTAAATTTACATTAATTAAAACATTAATACTATATAGTTGCTGCATCTTACTAAATGGCAGTGCCATCACTTCACATGGCATCATGTCTGACTGACTTGTACATTATGTCACTTAGCGAGTATCCTAACATTGTTTTTAAAAGTCAAAGAGCGTTCATTTGTATTACCTCTAATGTCATATTCTTTTTAGTCCATCGGAAATCATATAATTTATGTTAACCGAAATCAACACCGCCTTCCTTGCCTTGCCATCAACGTGGAACAACAATCCTAAATCAGACACCCGACAAACCCATCAATGTTCACAAGGGCGATTCCGATTGCTATAAATGCTAAATATGTGCTCGATCATTTTGTTTTTCTCTGACGGCCGATTTAAGCTGTATCGAAGATCCTCCATCATTCACGATACATCTCACAATACGCCTCTCGTTCGGACTCTCTTTCAATCTCTCTCATCAACAAACCGGACCAAACCAAAGGCAACGTGCTACAAAACCATAGCCCGACTACGAACAGACATGGACAAGGCCGCAAAGCTGTTTCGACTTGGCCAGGGCGTATTTTCTACTAAAATATGCCCTAATAACGCTGCCATCCACTGCCCCAACTTTCCCCGCAATAATTTCGGGGTGCTAAATTTACCTTTGCATCGACACACATGGCTTTCTCCGTCTCACAACACTGTACGATTACAGGAAACGGCCAGCGTAGAGCAGGAACTAACTTCTTGCCAGCGCTAGGTCGAACGCGCAGCCCCCGATCTCATGTGCTGTCCGCTGATTGGTCCATCCTCAGAGGGACTGTCAAAAGGCACACATTCCATTGGTGGACGAATTTGTCTATCATTCCGGTGTGCGGAATTACAGGGCGGGAGACATTAATGGGTATCGGTCGTACGGGTAGTTTGGTTGTGGCTGCACTAAATGCGGCCTACTTGTTATCACCGACCGCGATTCAAGATGCTCGCTTGTTAGAATTTAAACGGCAATGGATTCATTTCTTTATTATGACTATTTAAGGAAAAATAAAATATTATAATTTTACGTTAAGGAAATAATTTCCGTAGCTTTACGCAATTTTTGCAAATGTCTCCAAATGTCCCAATAAAGCTTATGATGCTAAATGAAACATATACTCGCATTTTATAGTATAATATATAATTTATTTGTCATAGATGGATACACAGGTATTCGTGATTCGAAGTTGTTGCTGTTATGTAAGAGAGGTCTTGCTATGTAAAACATATTGAAAATAAAAAATATAATTTAAATGCCACCACAAAAATATGTGTATGATGTTAAAACAGTTTAAATCATATTCACATTATTATACATTTTTGGGTATAGTAATTTATTAATTTAGCATGATTAAAACACGTTCAATAATATTCTAACTATTCATTATAGTGATTAAAACAAACATTTACATAATGTGTGTGTGTGTGTGTGTGTTAATATATATGGTATTTTATAAATACATTATTACTTCATTTTTAAACATTATATATATATATATATATATATATATATATATATGTATATATATATATATATATATATATATATATATTCACACACACACACACACACACTTTTTATTGTGCACTGGATACTGGATTATATGTGTTAGGACAAATTAATAATAAATAGCTTACATCCTCATAAATTATTTTACATGATTATTTTTTTAAACATCACAAACAGCAGTCTTTGATGTAATTTTTACCCTACTTTCTTAGAGTAGCATGCTGTGGTCTTTCATACAAAAAAAAGTGCTCACAGGTTAGAAAAATAAATGAATACTGTGTTAACATCCATAATTCTTTATTTTCTTTCTGTTTCCTTTTCCTCTCTCTCCTTATCTGTTTCCTGGTCTTTTATCCTTGTTCCGAATGTGTGAAGAAGTGTGTCTTTAAACTAGTGCAGTGTAACTTATTGACTGTGACAGCACACCCTGCATGGTCCATAGGAGTCCAGTGTACACTTGCACGTCTGCCTGCCAAAAACTCCATCTGCCTTTGCTCGACTGGTGCCACTGTAGTTCATATCCATTATCCATTATGCCTATGCTGCTATCTGTGATGATTCCTGGTCAACCTTGCCAGCTCTGAAGCTGAGAGCTATATTTACAAACAGCTGTTGTTAGAGGTAAAACACCTCATTCAGAGAAGTAACACAGGTTGAGGACAAGTTGTAGGCTATTTCATTTCACACAGATCAAGAAGGTTTTCTGATTTCCATTTAATGAGATTTATTTTACAAAGCTTTATAATATACACACACAGCTCCGTAATCAGGCAAACATATGATAAACAGAAACCTCACATCAAATCGTTAAGCTATATTTGAATTAAAATGGAATTTAGAAATTGAATTTTGTTTTTAAAAAAAAGAAAGAAAGAAAAAAAGGAAAACCCTGAAATACATATTTTCAAATATATTATTAGGACAGTCTCATTGTATTTCCATAACGTCATTTTTTTCAGTTTAACCATACACATTACAAAAAAGAGTGACTTTTTAGTGATTTTCAAATCACATGGCCTGGTTCTCAATAATATTTAATTATAATATTAATTGTATTTTTAAATAACAAAATATATATTTAATTATAACATTTAACATCTCATTTTCTGCATTTTCTCTGCTCTGCTGTTAAAAAAAGAGAGGAAGAACAAATATGATGTTTTCTGTGGATTCCATTTTCGTAAAATAAACCACCAGAGAGCATGTCACCCTCTCTCCCAGCTGTTCACATGGTCATCTTTATAAAGGGAAGACCAGGAAGCCTGAAAAAGTAGAGTACTTCCAGCCTCCCATTAGGTTGCCCTTTTCTAGCTTGAGGTAAGCCTTGTCCCCTCTTTCCATGATCACAAGCCCAGCATTTGTGGCTGCTTCTCGTGTCACATCCTGGTCTCCAGCAAAGGCTGAGATCATCGGCCACCCATTCAACATCAAACTCACCTGGGAATAGGAAAATAAGTTTTCACAGCAATGCCATAGAAGAGCCATCTTTGGTTCCCCAAAGAACCATAATGAACAGTTCTTAAAATCAACAGTTCATAAAATCAACCATTTTTTCAAAGAGTGAAGAACATTTTAAAAACTCTAAAGATCCCTTTTCCACTATAAAGAACCTTTTGTGCAATTGAAAGGTGTCATGGATGTTACAGGTCTACCAATAAAGAACCTTTATTTTTAAGAGTGCAAGAAAAAATATGTAGTATGTACCTGTATGGTTTGCCTGTTGTATGCCTTTACCACATGGAAGTTGAAGCTGTACACCCCTCGTCTCGGAGCAAGGAAGATACTGCTCTCTTGGTCAAAATGACCACCGACATTCACCAAGATCTGACAAAAACTGACTGATTAAACAGAGCAAAACTACATGCAAGTATTTTAATGTGGAAATATTGCTTACCTGGTCAAAATAGATGATCATGGTGCGATTGCTCATGTCTGTGGGCTCATGGTTGGTTTGCCGTGTGGCGGAGAAGGCCACACGGCCGGTACCTGAACGCACGGACATCCCCAGTGCGTTACCTGCTGGTTCTGAAGAGGGTGTGGAGTCACAGACCACCAGGCATTTACCTTCCAGCACTATGGGCTCCGTGTCATTTTGCCCCATGACCACTAGAGGGCCAATTAGCAGAAGTGGAGCTAGTATCAGCATTGGCATCCCAGAGCTGGGCAGCATTGTCTTATTATTATAGCTTATGATATCTCGGATGAAATTAGGTGCAAATGTTCCCTGAAATTTGATCAAGTAGGTCGTCTTCTGGAAACCGAGGAGAAATAAGTGAAGGATCCACAAATCCGTGATGTTATGAGCTATTGTAAAAGTTATAGATATTTAAATCCTTGACTCTGTCTTTCACCCTCACTTACTCTTATACTCTCTCTCTCTCTCTCTAGCTATTTTGTCGTCATCCTCCCGTCTGTCACAGTTTCCTGACGAAGATCTACGTCTGTGCTTGTTAAATTGCCTGTAGGGGACCAAAGGCAAGGACACTTAGAGGTTTCTCATCATCGAAAAAAAATCCATCATCATAGCCAACCTGTGAGAAGACAAAGAGAGAGGGAGAGGATAAAAGGAGCTCTGCAAGCCAACAGGTATGCTTGTGTGGGGGAGGAGGAAGAGGAGCAGTGAAGGATGAAGATCATGAGGTAACACTTTGGATCCCGTTCAGCTGAGGGGAGCAGCATCCAGGAGAGAGTGAGAACAAGAGACAGAAAAAAGAACAACTCCACTGAGAGACCATCTGTCTTTAACACGCTCTCACTTCCCTCCTGACGTTCCACAACATGCAGGACCTCTCTCCTGTGCTTGTGCTTATTGGCCGAACCTCCTCTCTCTCCTCAGTGCCTTGGCACGCTAACGGCAACAATATGCCAAAGTCCTGAAACCCAAGAATGGACATCTCGGAATTTGAACTAAAATATGTCTATATCAGGTCTAAATTGGCACAGATCACCACATTCATTTACTATTCAAGTCATGTTTATAGTCTTTATGAAGCAATGACATTTACAAAGGTCAACTTTCTTTGCATCTGGTCTTGAGTGAAACCTCAATGTTTGTGCACTTTTAAATAAGAACTAATTCTGCTCAGTGCTGTCCTTGAATGCTATCCACTTTTTTCACAAACCAATATCTTTATTTTCTTCACAAAACTTCACTCCCACAAAATGTTAACACATTTATAATTTCAGGTTATTTAAAATCTTTTTATAGCACTAAAAAAAAAATCTAATCAGCATGCATTTTGCCTTGTTCCCTTATAAAAATATCTAAACCTTTATTATTTCTTAACTTGAGAAGCAAAATTGTGTACAATAAAAATACTTTATTTTAAAATCTTTTTTAAAAAATATCATGAATTTGTTTTATTTTTCTTACCTTATTGGCAAATTGGTTGTATTTATTAAAGCATAAATCTAATAAAAAAAATAAAGTGAGGTTTTAGGTTTCAAGTATGTTTAGATATTTTCCAGGAAAACGAGATTTAAAAAAAAACTAAAAAGAATAGATTTTTTATGGAATTGTTTTGTGTACTAAACAATCTTTTAATACAGCTTCTTTCCTAGGGAGTAACATAAGATTAAGTTCATAAGCTTTTGTAGTAATAAAAAAATAGCAAAATTACCTGATTTAGTGGGCTGTCCCTCGGTTTCCCAGGCGTAATGATGCAAAGTGTTAAAGCTTCTGTAGAGAAAAACTGAATCTGACAGCTTACAGATCTTCCTACTCATCCTGTCTCTCAAGATCCTCCCCTTCCCACCCACTCTGCCAGCTTCACCTCTATCTCTCTCTTTCTCTCTCTCTCTCTCTCTCTCTCACTTTCTCTAATAATCCATGTAATCTTTCTTTGATGTAAACAGCATGGCCAAACTGGCATTTGTAGCTGTAAATGATAGCCAACAGTCAGTAGAAAGCATATAGAAGAAAACAGGAACAATAACATGACCTAGTGTCCCACAAAACATGACTGATTCACATGGTACGTGAGGATCAAAGGGCACAAAGGATAATACAATCAAAGAAAATCTGGAAAAACAGAATAACTTTCAGATTTCACATATAAACAAAGTACTTCTTATTTTTTGAACATCTCAACAAATGAAACCAATAAATAAAACAAGAATAAACTTTGAATATATATTGTCAATTTCCATCCATCGGACGGACTGTTCTATAAACCGCTTATCCTCTGTCGCAGGGATGCTGAAACCTATGAAAAAATATTTGCTGACATGAAAAAATATTAAATATTTTAAATGCATTTTAAATTGCACTTTTATGCATTTAATAGCCTGCAAAAAATAAACTGGGCACTGGCAAAATATCATAATAAAGATAAATATTTGAGATTTATATTTTGCAAATTTTGAATATCCATCGATGGAGAAAGGATCTCAGTTCCTCTTACAATTACAGTGAAAACATTAAGATGAAAAACCTAGTGATAAAGGTTTGACACTGATTATAAAAGAAAATGAAAAGCTAAAATTTAAAAGCTCAAAATAACAATAATAATAAAAAGTAAGAAAAAACATTAACCATATACAGTTAATTGGAATATTTGTTGATTCTTGAAAAATAAATTCTACTTTTTCACCCAGAGCATTATATATCCCTCAAGAGACATATAACTCTTTATGAAATAAAAGTTTCAACAGCAGTTTCAGTTCCTGTTTTCTCCCAAATCTGAGCTGTAAATGTAGTCATATTTTCTTGAGGATGGTGACCCTGCTGTTCAGCTCTGGTTTGTAGAGGCCAAAGCCTAGGCAGACGGGCTGGGTGAATCTGGTGCTGAAACTGTGCAGAGGGAGCAGGGTGGATGACGATCCTACTTCTGAAAAGGTGATGGAGCCAGAATCATAGTCCAGAGTGACTGCCAAATGGTTGCCAGACATTTTTGCGGAGAGATGGGTTTTCTTTCGGTTATGCCAGGCAGCAAGTTTCCTGTCATGCTGCTGTGTCAGGCTCCAGGATATCTGAGTAAGATAACAGAAAATCATAACACAGGACATAATGAATTCAAAGATAAAACAGACTAGGCCTCTGACATGATATGACTAGAATAATAAACAATTACATTTTTATATAATTTTATTTAAGATCAGTTTTCTGAGAAAAGTTCAGAGAAACGCTGTGTAAAAATAAATAAATAAAAAATAATGTTACTTTTGAATAATTAAATACTACTACTACTAGTACTACTACTAATATTTATTATTAAAATAGATTAAATATGACAATTATCATTTAATTCTGATTTTTAAATACTTAATACAAAAATCATTAGATTAATCACATTTTTATTCTATTGACTTCCACACACACACTCACACACACACACACACACACAAACACATCAACTTAATAGAAATTAACATTTTTCTGATTATATTTTACACATTTATATTCTGTTTTAGGGTCTTTATGCAGGAAAATATATGGGTGCATTTTTATTTTAAGAATTTGGTCGCAGAAGGGATCATCATATTTGGCATTAAAAAGTTTGTGCATTAGGTTAACGGTGTACCTTGTTGCAGCCAAAGGCTGTGCCCTCTTTTGATTTCCTCCTAATGCTGTGGTAGGTCACTGCTATATCCCAGAAACCCTCCACCTCCAGCTCCCAGTAATGGGTTCCTGAAGAAAATATCTGACAGGAGACCACCTGAGACCAGTGGTCAAAGCGGTCAGGATGCTCAGGGACAGGCAAGCGGGTTTTGACCCTCATCACTGTCCGTAGGTCTTCAGAAATATTTAAGAGAGGTTGGGCTGAGTTTTTGTCCAAGGTTAATGGACTGCTTACTAAATAACAAAGAGAAACAACCATTGGAAATGTAGCCACTAGATGTCACTATTAAACAAGGCAAATGAAGCAATACTGCTCAAAAACAGTATTCAGTAAAGTGGTAAAAAATATTGATTAGAATCACGCTTAGGTTAGCTGAGAATCAATAGTAAGGATAATATTACTTAAAAAATCTAAATGTTGCTAGGATCAGTGCTCATTGTGTAATGTATGAATGATAATACATACAGAGATCTCTCTTGAGTTCAATTAGGCTGCGCAGGGTCTCAGCTATGAATTCTCTATATTTATTTTCCACATTCTCTAAGACACGTTTCTTATCCATGCTGGGCTGAGGTGGTGTGAACAGAGGTGAGTTGAGATCTGCCATCATCCTGCAAGGCAGAGCAACTAATACAGTAAAACTTACATTCTTGTTCATATGCAAACTAACATACAACTGCACTCACAAATCACAAGTTATTTCTCTGACACTCACTAAAACAATCACGGTTTATCTAAAGACTTACTGCGAATCCTCTGTCTGGAATGCCTGTGAAATGTTATCATTGCTATGAACGGTGGCAGAAGTTTAAGTCATTTTAATCTATTTTAAGCTAAGTGACTTCTGTAAAGATCCACAGTCAGAGAAATTATTCAATACCAAAACCTTGTGGATGCATAAAAAAATCTAATAAGGCCATTAACTAGTAACATATCCGTATATGTTAAATGTTGGTCATAAACTGTCTTACAATGCCCTTTATAGCATATAATGTTGCAACAACTCTTATCAAATCAAATTTACACAAAACATGCTTTTACTGTATTACAGTAGACATTTTTATGTAAACATATTTGATAAGAGTTTAAAATGTCTACTTTATTGCCTGTTTTATTGTCTATTTTAATAGAATGTATTTATAGAACACATGCATTCTTTAAATAGAACATATTTATAAACATAAAATACTAACTAATAAAATATCATAGTTTTTATCAGCATATGGTAAATGAGACTTGATATGCATTTAATCAGGAAATTAAAGTAAATACCCAGATTAGCAGGAAGGGATCACTCTCGTCCAGCAGGGAGCCAAGAAAGCAGTGGATGCTCTCAGTTTGGTTCAGATCTTCTCTCATCCTGCTGCAGTCTTCCTGCACCCTCTCCATGGCCTGCTGTCTCTCCTGTTCCGTGATGTTTATCACGGCTGACACTAGTCGGCCCACCTGAGCCTGCAGGGCTGAGCCCATCTGTAAAACCTGGGAGACATCACTCACAGCAGAGTCCTCCTGAAACACACACACACACAGAATATGTAATGTATGCATGTTGCGTTCAGTTATGAAAACCTGTAGTCCTTATATTTCAGGTTAGGAATATTTAGTTTTAATTGAAATTGAAATCCCAAAGAAGCTTAAACTTACTAGTATGCTGCGACAAGCATTCTGATGTTCTTGAAGCATCATTTCACCTTGCTTTACTTTCTCTTCTGCTTTCTCAAACAGGCTCTGTAATTTGACCTATAACACATTACAGAAGAGCTTTTTAAATTTGAACCCTGGGTTTACAGATTTTTTATGACAGTATAAAGTGCATGAATATTTAATGAGGCAATCATATCTTCTTAGCACCATGAAGAGGAGTACCTTTTAACCCAGGGTTAGAAGTGGTGCCAGCTCCCTTTCAAAATTCAAAATGACAAGAGTGAGGGGCCATTCACACAGACTTTTACACAGTTTTTGCATTCCACTGTGCAACTTTTCCATTAGTGTTCTAAACATGCACCCTACGGACGACATTGCATTTTTTGAAACATTCTGTGTGAATGGCCTCTGAAACATTGATTTACTCTGGGTTAAAAAGCATGATTTTAAAAAAGACAATAACCTGGTGTAAAGTTCAGTGTGAACAGTCCTGGACCATGGAATCCCACAACAGGACCTTTTCTTAAAAAACAGTATAACAGATCTAATGACTTACTTTGTATTCCTCCTCGACTTTTCTCACCCCTTTGACCTGGTGTTGAGCATGTCGTCCTTCCAAAATGCAGTCTGAGCAGACATACTCCCTATCATCCATGCAGTAATACCGGAATATCTCCCAATGGGCAGGGCACCTGCGGTGGGATACGTTCATCAATGGCTCCACCAGCAGGTGAGTGCTATAAGCAGGACGCAGCAGGTGTGGCTGCAGATGCTGCTCACACAGAGAGACCTCACATCGCAAGCAGGTCTTCACTGCAGCTTGGGCCTCATCACCTTTGTCTTCTGGACAGCAGTCACATACCACCACTCCCTGCTCCTCCAGGCATTGTGGGCATACAAATCTTCGCGTGCCACAGCCGGCACTCTGGCGCCAGGACTCTTGCGCACAGGCCAGGCAAAAGCTGTGGCCGCAGGGAAAGGGGTGAGATCGACCAAACAGGTCACGACACATGGGGCATGTGTGTTCTTCTTCCATGGAGCCCATAGCAGCTGCAAATTTATTGTAAGCATGCAAACAATTCATTTTAGTGTAATATTTTAATATTTTGCAGTATTTACCAAAACAGTGGAGTTTGATTATCCCAACCAGCTCAACACAGCTACATTGATTCAACCAATAACATAGGTTTGGGATGATACTACATATTTTTATATTTGATATTAAATCTTTTTGAATATTTTTATACAAATTTGTTGATGTCTGCTCCAAAAAAAATTCTACAATTTGTAAGCATCCCCAAAAAAAAGAAGACAGTTTTCTGAGAGCTTCTAAATCATTTAGCCATTTACTACCAGTGCATAAGATATGCATGACACAAAATACAACAAAAAAGTGTGCACTTACTGAAGATAGTGATTGGTCACTCATAGGAAGTCAAATGCTGCACGGATTAATGCAGACCTATTTGGCACAAACTAAGCCTTACTGTTAAGTTAATCTGTCTCCTAATCAACTATTTTTAGAAAGCTGTTCCATTTGACTACTGGATAAATTAGGTAATGTCCAATGAGTGTCTATTAAAGTCATTAAGTTATTATATGAAAGGTGATGTGTTTATTTTTTCCAAGTTAATATGCTGAGACAATAATACAGCCTTTTGTAGGCCGTTTCTTCCAAAAAGTGTAAACACTGGATCTGTGGCACTATTAGAATTAGCAGTTTGTTGGAGTATCTGACCAGCCCACCACAGTTACGTTGCCATGAGTTTGGGATAAGACTATTTGTTTTATTAGCAATGGCAGACAAGAGGAGCATTTGGGAAACTGTTTGAAATCCATTAATATTTTTGCAATTCTGTTCGGCAACACTGATCGCACAGAAATGACCAACTTTAATTTATGACAAACTTGTTATAACTGGCCCTAAAGTTTTCCCTGCAAACAATAACTGACCCAGGCAACTGTGGAATCAAGAGATCAACTTCTCAGTGGCTTCTTGATCTTTGAATGTCATTCAGTTACATGGTTGGCATTATGGTGCATAACCTATATAAAAACTACAAAGGCTTACCTTTTTTTGTCCTGCAGCCTTGTGTAAAAGATAGAGGAGGAGGATTTCATACAGAAGCACAACCCAAATGTACATGTAAATGTGTGTGTGTGTGTGTGTGTGTGTGTGTGTGGCAGCTGGCTTATCCTGCAATGTCTTCTTAGACTGACTGACCTGTCAACATTCTAAGCCACCACATGACCGGTTCTTTACAGAAGCAATATGAGGTGAGTGAGGAGAAGAAATGAAAGCAAATAAATTTCATCTGGTATCTGTTTAAATAACACTGATTGTTATGTAGAATAAATCAAGATATTATAGAGTATTCTGATTTAAATGAGATGTTATGGTTACAAAACACAAGAAAACTGACATCCATGGTCTTTTTATTTTGTTACTCCAAGTTAAGTGTTCTTTTAATACAGACAGTTCAATTAGAAAAAAACAAAGGTGAAAAATGCTTGTGACTCAAACTTCATTGTTTAAAACCCTTGCAAAGCAATCATGGGATGGCACTATGTGTACTTTTTGTTAGGAAGCTGATAAACCAGTTCATCAAGTGCAGAGACACATTTAGTACATGCACAAAAACAAACAGAAAATGCTTGAAAATTCATTATTTTTATTTGCATAAAATAGAGGAAACAGAAAAAAACTGCCCAGATAGCACACATAGGTCTGCAAGATATCTGTTAAAGATTGCTTCATCTGGAAAGCATCTGCTGTGTACAAACATCTGATAGATGTCTTTAAGATGTCAGTTTTACATACATTCTAAATAATAAACATCTTAAAGACATTTTCTAAACGTCTATTTGACATCTCATAGGAAACGTTCTATAGACGTATTGCAGATGAGCAAACACTCTAAAACATATTTCTTGCAGATGTAAATGCAGACGTCAAATAGACATCTCCGTGATGTACTTGTGCTATCAGGGTGAGACCTAAGAAACAGGACATTAGGAGTGAGAAAAAAGGAGAAACAGAAAGAAGATATTGAAGCAAACTTTAAGCACTTCAAACTGACAGTCTGTAAAAATGACTTGTAAACTCAATCACCTTCTCAATGGCACATAAAGCCATTTGACTTTCAACTGTGATCAGCTGTGGCCATTTTGATTAGCTCAAACTGAAAAGAGCTTTCCTGGAGCATTTCAGTCCTTGGTAGTGCAACTGAAGCAAATAATCAACTATATGTGACATGGCACTGTCAAAAGATGTCTGGGATAAAGTTGTGGACAGGCAGAAGTCAAGAGATGGAGACCAACAAATATTTCAAAGGCTTTGTCAATGCTTAGAAGCAAAGTGAAGTCTATTATTAAGAAGTGTAAGGTATTTGGTACGACACAGACCCTTCCTGGATCAGGACGTCGCTCCAAAGTGGATAAAAGAACCAGGAGGAAACGGTTTAGAAAAGCTACCAAGAGGCCTACACAGTAACTCTGAAGCAGTTGCAGGAATTTATGACAAAGAGTGGTCATTGTGTGCATGTGACAACAATATCACAAATTCTCCACAAATATGGCTTGTATGGGAGGGCTGCAAGAAAAAAAGCCAGTCCTCAAGAAAGGTCACATGTCTATGTGCAAATTTAGTAGAGACAGAGACATCCCAACAGACTAAAGACTGTATTTAAAGCAAAAGGTGGTTCAACAAAATACTGACACAGGGTAATCCTTTTTCCAACTCTGTGATTCTGTTTTTCTATTTTTATTTATTTTCTGATATGTAGTGTTATATCTTTCACTTTAATGTTATAAGTTGCACTGAGTAAATACAGCTGGATAAAACAAAAACTGTGTCCATCTTCATTTCACGCTGCAAAGCAACAAAATGTGAGTATTTTAAAGGGGTGATTCTTTTCTATACCCACTGTATGTTTGATGTTGTTTGCTTGTTTGGTTTGGTAATTTTGAGGTCTAGGGCGATGGGGAGGAGCAGGCAGATCGGGGAGCCATGGCGGAGCAGGCAGAACAGGGAGGCCGGGTGATGACGGCAGAGCAGGAAGCCATGGCGGTGCAGAGACATGGACAGACCACTTGCCTGTGACCGAACAAGCAGAGAGTTCTTGAATGGCCTCCTTGGTCGTGACAGGGCAGACAGTGAGTTCATAAACGGCCTCCATGGCCGTGACAGGGCAGACAGTGAGTTCATGAATGGCCTCTGTGGCCGTAACAGGACAGACAGTGAGTTCATGAACGGCTTCCGTGGGTGTAACAGTTGCGGGGCCATGGTGGTGCAGGCAGATCGGGGGGCCATGGCGGAGCAGGCAGATCGGGGGGCCATGGCGGAGCAGGCCGACCGGGGGGCCATGGTGGTGTAGGCAGATCGGGCGGCCATGGCGGAGCAGAGACATGGACAGACCACTTGACTTTGAGTTCATGAACGGCCTCCTTGGCCATGGCAGGACAGACAGTGAGTTCATGAATGGCCCCTGTGGCCGTAACAGGACAGACAGTGAGTTCATGAACGGCTTCCGTGGCTGTAACAGGGCAGACAGTGAGTACGGAAGCAGACGCCACCACCTCAGAAGGTTCTGCAGCGGATGCCGCCAACTCTGGAGGTTCTGCAGCGGACGCTACCACTTCTGGAGGCACAGGAAAGGCCCTTCCATCACACTAGCAATCAGTCCTTTGAGTCTTGGCCCAAGCTCCGCATTCGCAGGAGCTTGGCTACTATAGCCCCCCCCAAAAAAATCCTTAGGGGAAAACTTGGGGATAGTCGCGACGTGGAGAGGCTCAGACATGGCGGCCATCTTGGCCGGGGACTCAGCCGTGGTGGCCATCTTGGCCGGGGACTCAGCCGGGGCGTGAGCAGTCTCTGAAATGGCGGCCATGTCATGACAAGACTCTGGATGATCAATTGAGACGTGACGAGACTCTAGAAGGGCAGCCATTTTGCAAAGAGACTCTTGTGTGGCAGCCATCTTGCAACGGAGCTCTTCAATGGCGGCCATGTTGTGAATAATTTCCTGTGTGACCAGCATGATGTGAGCAGGCTCTGGCTTGGCAGACGTGACGTGAGCAGGCCCTGGGGTAGCAGACATGACGTTATCAGACTCTGGCTTGGTAGACATTATGTGATCAGGCTTTGAATTTGTAGGAATGATAGGAGTAAACTTTAACTTAACTGGCATGATTTGAGCAGGTCCTGGAGTAGCAGGCATGACGTGAGCAGGCTGTGGCTTGGCAG